GAGCCCCAAACCTGATTCTCTCTTTTTTTTTTTTTTTTTAATTGTTTTTTTTCCTTTTTCCTCCTCATTTTTCAGCCATCTACAACTATGAGGCCACGCAGGAGGTGGAGCTGTCCCTGCAGGTGGGGGACACCGTTCACATCCTGGAGATGTACGAAGGTGGGTGCAGCTCACAGGGGGTTTGGAATGAAAATGGCAATAAATCAAGATTCTTTTTCAAATTTTAGGTTTGTATTTTCAACTTCTGTTACAGCCCAAAGCACAGATTTGGTGTGTAGTGGTTGCTGTAGCCTCTTGATTTTTAAAATATTAAAAATTTTTTTTTTAAATGTTCAAAAGGCAGAAATGCAGAGTTTTTTCTCCTCTCTGTGCTGTTCCAGGCAGTTTATCGAGGTAAGGTTTCACCAATATCTCAAGGCAGGATTAAAAGAGGAAGAAACCTTTAATTCTGGCTTTAATTGTAAACCTTTAATTGCTGTTTTTACCCCACACCTCTTTGGGCCAGGCTCATGGCATCAACTGAGCCTGCTGGAAAATAAGAATAATAATTTAAAAATTCCCCCAGCTTTTAACCTGAGGGTTTTTTTTTTTTAATCTGAGTGACAGAAAATGAGAGGGAAGGGCTGATTAGCTCATAATTAATGTTGTTTTGAGTTGTAATATCATAATCTGGCATTAAATGCTCCAGTAATGGAGCTTCCAGGCCTTTTTTAGGCTGTTCCTCTCAGTCCTCCTGGGACATTTTTCATAATACCTTCATATAAACCACAAAGAAAACAAAATTCTTCTTTTAAAGATTAAAATGACACTTGAGTGTTTCAAATCTCCCCATCCACTTTGACAAAGATTTCAATATCAAGACTGGACCAGAGCCATTTAATCAATTTAAGGAATTCTCTGGTCACTGCTCCTCTCTCCAAAACGTAAATTTCTAGAATAGAGAATTCTTAATGGCAGAATTCTTAATGGCAGAATTCTTAATGGCAGAATTCTTAATGGCAGAATTCTTTATGGCAGAATTCTTTATGGCAAATAGATTCTTAATAGCAAATAAATAGATTCTTAATAGCAAATAGATTTTTAATAACAAGATTCTTAATGGCAAATAGATTCTTAATAGCAAGATTCTTAATAGCAAAAAGATTCCTGATAGCAAATAGATTCTTGATAGCAAAATTAATTCTTGATGGAGAATTCTTGATGGAGAGTTTATTCTTTATAGCATGAAGAATTTTGGGTGTTTTTTGGGGCAGCTCTGGGCTGCACAATCCTCTCCTGAGGGGGCTCCCAAAGGCCCAGGGAAGTCCCTGCAGTGCTGCTGCTCCTCAGCTGCCTCTCAGTGCCAGGAAAATTCTTAAAATTGCCAAATCCCTGCTGGGTTGTCACTGCTGTCCAGAGGGAGAGGCCTCCTGCAAAGGGTGGGATCACAAAATAATCTGAGGGGATCGTCCAGTCCCACCCCTGGCTCTGCACAGACACCCCAAAATCCCACCCAGATTGGGGGTGAGACCCTGACCATGCTGTGCTTCCCAAGTGGGGTGGGGTGAGAACACAGGGGGTGATTGATTCATTTTTCCTGACCTGCAGCTCCCCTGTGCCAGGGATTCATCAGGGGCTGATGGATTTGATGGATTTGATGAATTTGAATGATTTGATGGATTTGATGAATGTGATGGCTTTGATGGCTTTGATGGATTTGTTGAATTTGATGGCTTTGATGGATTTGTTGAATTTGATGGATTTGATGAATTTGATGGATTTGATGGCTTTGATGGATGTGATGAATTTGATGAATTTCATGGATTTCATGGATTTCATGGATTTCCATCCCTGGAAGTTCAGCTCCATCTTGGACAAAGGACACAGGGAAGGGCCTCAGAGGGGAAGCACGGGCTGAGCAGTGTGAGCTGAAAATTCCAGATATTTCCAGGCTGATGTCCTTGGAGTCATGGAATGGTTTGGGGTGGAAGGGACATGAAAATCATCCTGTCCCAGCCCTGCCATGGACAGGGACACCTCCCACTGCCCCAGGCTGCTCCAAGCTGGCCTGGGACACTTTTAGGGGTGGAGGGAGACACTTTCAGGGATGGAGACACTTTCAGGGATGGAGGCATTTTCAGGGATGGAGGGAGACACTTTTAGGGATGGAGGGATTTTCAGGGATGGAGGGAGGCACTTTTAGGGATGGAGGGAGGCATTTTCAGGGATGGAGACACTTTCAGGGATGGAGGGAGACACTTTCAGGGATGGAGACTCTTTCAGGGATGGAGGGATTTTCAGGGATGGAGGGAGGCATTTTCAGGGATGTAGACTCTTTCAGGGATGCTTCTCAGTGCCAGTCACAATGTGTGTGGGACACCTGAGAGCTCTCAGCTCCCTTTTCCTGGATCCCTTTCCCTTTTAAACAAGCAGAGGCAGAGCCCGGGGTTGTTGTTCAGGTCCCACACTGCACAGCAGGGTTTTATTTTCCCCTCCTCTCTGCCTGCAGAAAAGCTCTCAGTGCAGGATTCCTCCTCCCCCAGCAGTGCCTGCTCCTCCTGCAGAATCCCAGAAAAGAAGGAAAACTTTTGCTGCCTTGCAGGATTTTGGAGGCTGTTCCAGAGCAGGGAGTGTCCTTGAGCAGGGAGCTGGGAGGACACTTTGGTTTTGAGGGGAAATCTCTCGTGATCTGCAGGATTTCTTCGTTATTTTCGTGAATTGCAGTGTTTGAGGGGAGCTGGGGGTGGAAGGAATGTGTGCTCACATGGCCCCTGGCAGGTTGTGCTCGTGCTGAAAAGGAATTTACCTTGAATTTGTTCCTGGTTTCAGTCACCCCAGTGGAGGGTGAGGCAATGCCCTGAGCTGTGGGACAGGGCAGGGCCCCACAGGAGGAGGAACAGGGACCTTGTGGTGCCACTTGTGACCTGGCCTTGCATCACCAGGGACAGCTTTATCATGGCTGGACTGCTGGAAAAGATTCTTCTTTTCCATACTGCAGAAAACCCACTTCATCAAGGGCAAAACTGAGGACTTGATCCGTTAAAAAAAAAAACAAAAAAAACCCAACAAAATAACAGCCCCAAACTTTCAGCCATTTTTTTTTACAAGTCATGGTTTCACTCAGATTTCAGGCTGAGTGACATTTCCCATGTCATCACCAACTGCAAAAACCTTCCTCCATTTTTATCCCCCCTCAAACAGTCATTCCTCTGAAGATTTCAGCAGATTTTGGAATTTTATTTTTTTTTTTAATGAAGAAATCACGTAATTAATTGACCGCTACCCAAAGATTTGATGTTCCTGTTGAAGTGATGGATAAATTATTGAAATAATTCCCACAGAAACTGCACGAGGTGCTTGCAGAATCAACTTTGCACAATCAGCCCCAATCTGCTTTTATGCAATTATTGCAAAATATTTGACAGGAATGGGGGGAAGGCCCAGGGCCCCTCTGCAAAAGGAGGAAGTTGTGCTATCAAAAGGCTGAATGTGTCAAATGGGATCCAAATCCCTCCTGCTTAATTCCATGAGCTCTGTCTCCCACCCTGAGGAATTTGTGCTTTCCCCTTCAATTAATGACAACTTGGATAAAAATAGAACCTAAATCTTCTCATCCTTAATCCAGGACCTCACCCATGGCTCCATGAGCAATGGATAATCTTGTTTTCCTCCTGTGGAAAAAAATGGAATTTCTTCTTTCCTCCCAACTTATTACTGGAATATTGGGGGTTTTTGAGGTGGAGAATGACCAGAAACTGCATTTCAGAAAATAAATAAATGGAAATACAACCACGTGCACATAGAAATCCTGATAAAATAGGAATTAAACCTTTCTAAACTCTAATTTATGGCTGAGGGGTGTCAGATCCATGGTTCTCTATGGAACCTGCTTTGATAAATATAGAAATATGGGAGGGACCAACGATAAAACCACAAAAAAAAAAAGAAAAACAAACCCAAAGAAACAATTCTCCCCTCTTCTCATCTTTGCCTGATTATTCCCTTAAACCCCTTTGCCTTCTTGGTGCTGCCACTCAGCTGGACTTAATCCCCTTGGCTGGGCTTTAATGTCCCTCCCAACCCAAGGCAGTGCATGGAAATCCTGGTTAAACCCCAGGTGCCCAGACAAGATAAATGTTCTCTCACAATCATTGCTTCTGTCTTAAATAAATTTTTAGATTTTACCCAAGCAAGGTTGATAAACGGGATTTTGTGTCAGGGCCCAGCTCCTACAAACACAGGAGTGGATCCCAAGTGAGGAGATGAATAAATTGGTGTTGGAGAAAGGTGGTGAGAATTGCAATGTGCATTTAATGGTGTTAATAAAGAATGAAATGTGAATATCTGTGTTTGCTTTGCCAGGCTGGTACCGAGGATACACACTGCGAAATAAATGCAAAAAGGTACGAGCTCGACTTTTGGGTGACTCCCATTTGAATTTCACACCTTGCCAGACCCAATCTGGGGCTGAAAATTCCTCAATTTTTGGTCTTGACATCAGGCAGGACCCCTGGCCACGGTGTCCTGTCCTCAGTGACCTGGAGCTGAAATTTCAGAGCCTTGTGTTGGGTAAATCCTCCACTGGAAATGTGAGGAGAGCAATTGGGAATTTCCAAAATTCTCTTTTTCCCCATTTCCATTCCCGAGTTTGTGGCTTTGCTGTGATGCTCTGGGTCCTGTGCTCATCCAGCATTAATTCTGGATGAATTAATTCATTAATTCATTAATTAATTTAATGGGAATAGCAGAATTTTGATTGGAAAATCAGAAGTGACACATCTGAGATCCCCCAGCAATTCTGGCCCCTCTCCATCCCCCACAGCCTCTGGTTTTGGGGGTGAAGAAGAGAGAAAAGGGACCAGGAAAAGAATTCCAGCATTTCCAGAAAGTTTCCCTGTAACAACAAAAAATGAGGAATTTTCTGCAGGTGCTGACAGGGGACTCCAGGAATATCTCATGGCAATAAGTGATGATGATTTTCAGGAATTTCCACATTTCCTGCAGGGTCATTAGAGTAAAACAAGGAATCAGCTGCTCTGAGTTACCAATAGGGACCCTGCTCCTCCTCCCTGTCCTTTTTTTTCCTGGCACACTGGGACATTTTCTTACTCCTTTTTCTTATTTTTTTTTTGGTGAAATATCTTCTTGTCACATCCCATCCCACAGCAGGATTGATTTATTTCATTTTTCTCTTTATTTTTAGGGCATTTTCCCAGAAACTTACATCCATTTAAAAGAGGCCATCGTGAAGGACCGGGGGTAGGTTGGAATTTTTTTTTGGCAGCAAAACCCCGAAAATTTAATTCCATTTAAACCCCAAAAGAACTAATTTAAATAACTGTGGTTTGTTGTTTTTTTGTTTTTTTTTTAAGTTGAGTGGTTATTAGTTGTTATACAATTGTTTATTGTTAAGGTACATTCGTTTTGAAAGGTAAAAAGTTTCAAGTGTTAAAAGTTCATGTTAAAAGATTTTAATATGGAGTTTTAATTAGAAGTGAAGTTTCAATTAGAAGTGAAGTTTTAATTAGCAGTAAAAGCTGGGGTTTTTTTGTGAGACCCCAGGAGGGCTGAAGTTTTTTTTTTTTAATAAAATACTTTTTTTGGAAAAAACACTTTTTTTTTTTGGATAAAACCCATTTTTTTGGGTAAAACCCTTTTTTTTTGGATAAAACACTCTTTTTTGGATAAAACACTTCTTTTGGATAAAACCCTTTTTTTTGGATAAAACACTTCTTTTGGATAAAACCCTTTTTTTTAATAAAACCCATTTTTTTAGAATAAAACTCTTTTTGGATAAAACACTTTTTTTTGATAAGACACTTTTTTTGATAAGACACTTTTTTTTTTATAAAACACTTTATTTTTTTTTTTGATAAAACACTCTTTTTTGGATAAAACACTTTATTTTTAAACCCTTATTTTCAAGTGGCTGTTGCCATTGTGACTGGGGATTCATCCAAACTTAATTTCTGTCTCTTTATCCTGGGTTTGGAATGGATTCACTGGGAATAAGAGTGAAGGCAGCTTGAAGAATTTGACATGAAAAAATGATGAATGTGTGTGTTGAGAGCAGCTTCAGCCTCTGGACATCACGAATTGTGTGAAAATCAACTCCTCTGGAATTTCCATTTCTGTATTTATTTTTTAAAAAAGGGTGTTTTCCATTGAGTTTGAACCCTGAGTGTGAAACCTTTCTCTGTGTTATAAATGAGAGACAAAAGTCTCGATATTCAGCAGAATTTAGGTTGTTTTATTTGATATAGAAAGAGCAAACAGAGCTGGGGAATGTGAGGGGTCACTGCCCACTCCACCCAACCTCGGTTTGCAGCCTCTTCTCAGACTGGGGGTTCTGTTCTAATCAATAATTTTGGTTTTTGGGTTTTTTTTGTTGTTGTCATAAGCAGTGGTGTTTGAATAAACACCCTCACACAAATTGACAAAGCCTTTGGGTGATGATCAGTCACAGCCAGCTGGGCCTTGGAGAGAACCTCCAGAGAAATTCTGGAGTCTGGTTTTTGGGATTGGCAGCATTGATCAGACAAAGGCAGGAAGGGCTATTGGGAAATCATTGATCAG